ATCGGCCGGATGATTCTAATCATTTTCCGATTATTAGTTGGAAGATTACATCGTTTACGTTAAAAACCTTAATGTAAGTCCAGCATTTTCTTTTGTTAAGAAAGAGAGGATATCTAAAACCCTAAGAGAGATTATTACTCCCTCCTTTCATCTATATAGGGCCTAACGTATTTTTTGAGCCTAACTTTGATCAAATATTAGAGCAATAATATATGACATGCAAGTTACACAAAGTATACCGTCAAATTCGTATGTGAAAAGAGTTTCCAATGATATAATTTTCACATTATACATCACATGTACTATTAATCTTATCAATAGTCAAAGATGGTCTTGAAAAACACATTAAACCCTATATAGATCGAAAGGAGGGAGTAGTTATAGAAGATTATGTAGTTTACGTAAAAACCTTTTGTAAGTCTAGCATTTTTTTTTCGAAACGGACAGTCTAGCATTTTTTATAAGAAAAGAGAGGACTTCTAATAAATCAACGCGCTTGTGAATCCTCCGGCATATTCGAACACGCCTACCAACAGGCAACAATACTGCGCCTTCTCCTCCCCAAATTTTGCCCCTCCTCCCCCCACCCCCCACCGGGGTCGTCGCCGCCGTCTCAATATCAGCGTCGACGCAGCCCACCGGAACACTGCGCCCCTGCGCCGCCAACTCCGCCCGGTACTAGAACCACCTCCCCCTTTTTGCTTCAACGCACCATTTTGAACTGTTCGACGGGTTCGGGTACAACCTCGAATTGTTGGCCCGTAATCCAGTCTCAGTGACGAGATGACAACAAAAATTTGAGCAAGTAGATGGTACAGTAGTACAAGAGATTAACCAAAGCACATTCCGCGGTTTAGAGTCTTGGCATCAGTTGCGCTGCAACCGTGCTGTAGAACACTAGCTTACTGATGGCCGGAAGTGCATCACGGCCAGTCTTGACATAACTTACTACATAGAACAGTACTACAATGCTACAGATAGGCATTTTAGAAGATACCTAACTTTATTTAATACATAGAACAGTACGACACTGCTACAGATAGGCATTTCAGAAGATCTCCTTGTACACTATGTTCTTCGCCATCCCTTTGCTTGCGTGTTCTTCATCGTCGCCGGCGATCAGGATCTTCAGGCCATGCCTGTTTGTTACTCTGGAGACCGCCACATAGAGTTGCCCATGAGTGAAAACTTGCCTGGGCAAGTAGAGGCCGACCTTATTCAAAGATTGTCCCTGGCTCTTGTTGATTGTCATTGCGAAGCACACGGACAGAGGATATTGCTTTCTTTGTAGTACAAATGGCCATTTAGGCTCGAATGTCACTGTGGTCATCCGAGGGATGCATACCTTACTACCGACGTGCGCTCCAGTTATGATCTGCGCTTCGATGACTCTTTTTCCAAGTTTTGTGATTGTCATTCTAGTACCGTTACATAGCCCTGCGCTTTGATTGATGTTGCGGAGAAGCATCACTGGCAGACCGACTTTGAGCTCAAGTAGGTGATCTGGACATCCTGGGTGCTTTAACTTGTTTAGAAACTCTGTAGTATACAACAATTCCATTTCATTGTTGTAAGACATCGATCTGCTCACACTGTCACAGCTCAGGTATGTCACCCTGTCACCTTGGATTTGACCCATAATATTCTCATTGATCTCTTCGACAGTCTTGTTCATTGGACACAATATCGCCCTTTCTTCCAGGAACTTCCGTGTGCAGAAATTGTCTTGGAGGTCAGGATAGGTACTTTGGATGATTTTTGTTTTCGGATCATCTCCGTTTTGTAGCAGCAGGTCACTGGGGATACTTACATACTCCTTTTCATCTAATAAACATGCGTCTCCATTACCGATCTGTAGTATCCATTCTGCAAATTCCGCAGTCTTCTGCTTCTCTGCTTGATCATTGCACAGAGAATTGAGCCGCATGTTTTTAGTAAGGTTGAATACCTTGAAATGTTGCCAGAGGTATGAGCATTTGATTGACGCACTTATAGTGTGCTCCCTTCTTCCCTTTGGCACAACAGGGAGGATTTGTCGGAAGTCCCCTCCTAGAACAACTGTCATGCCGCCGAAGGGCTTGTTGCAACTATTCTCATTGGTGAACCTGAGCACATCTCTTAGGCTCTTGTCAAGTGCTTCGAAGCATTTTTTGTTTGCCATTGGAGCTTCGTCCCATAGTATTAGTGACGTCTTCACTAATAGATTAGCCACCTCGGAACCTTGTTTGATGTAGCATGTAGATTGACCTGTCAGGTTGATTGGAATATTGAATGCTGAGTGTGCTGTTCTACCTCCTTGAAGCAGAAGCGCTGCGATGCCAGAAGATGCAACTGCGAGTACGATTTTCCCCTCCGATCTTAGCCTTGTAGTGATAGCTTTCCAAAGGTATGTCTTACCTGTCCCGGCATAGCCATCCACGAATATTATCTTCCCTAATGATTGATCTGCTGATTCTATTATTGCATCGAAGGCCTTCTTCTGACCTAAATTTAGATTTTCCACTATTTGCACGTGTTCAGCCTTCAACTTGTCTTTATCGTAGTTCATTTCTTCATTTATAAGCCTGTTCTCTATTTCATTTAACTCAGACATGTTTGGTATCTCTATTCCAGGGTAATCCTTTAGTGATCTTCCAGCTTGTCCCATTTGCTTCTCAATTTCTGTTAAAGTGCATTTTCTGTTGTGTGAAGGAGTGAAGGGGTGTGGAAAGTTTGTAATCCAGCTTGGTGTGTGCTGTATGTCTTTAGAGAGTTTCTCCCAGTTGGATTCCCATAACATCCCTGAGTCAGTAACCTCACAATAGCACAAAATAGTTGCAAACAATTGGCGTAGTTGCACCCCAGATGCCCATTCTGATGCTTCCTTGATGCACTCAGTCCACTCCTTGTCATCCTCAAGAAATCCTAGCGCATGACATGCTGATTTGTATGATGAGTGCACGATTCCGTTGACAGTCCTGATATCTTCAAATGTCATGCAACCCTTTGCAGTGTTGAGGAGAACTCTGAGATAGTACCTTTCTCCGCTTGCAGGATGAGCATTGTATATCCTGCCGATGTTCCTTCCTGCTCTCCGCCTTGTCCACTTCTGTTTTGTCCTATCCCATGTCCATCTTGTAGGAAACTCCAAATATGTTAATTCTCTCGCATCTTTGTGTTTTTTATTTGTCTCCATCCACTCAGTAAACATAGTGATACTTGATCTTGGCCGCTGTATTATTTCTTCTAGGTTTGTTGAGTCAGGAAAAATGACTTGTTGCTTGTTCTCCTCATGGAACATTAGCCTCTGAACAGATGGTTGCTGGTACTGTAGAGGAAACTTGAATATTCGCCAGCATGCTTCAGTTGCTGTTATGTATCTGCATCTAAGGTACATTTTAATCTCATCATTGTGTTTTGATTGGTCTGTTTCTTCAACCAGTGCTGTTGCTTGGTTATCTCCTTGACGGATATCCTTAAAGAGGTATTTGATTGACATATATCGATTACACAACTCCACATTTATGTGTGCTTGGAATTTTACCAGGAGATCTTTGTTGTATGGTACAACAGATCCATTGTTCAACTTGACTCCTCCCTTATCTATCTGGCGGCCATTATCTCGTCTCCTGTACCTCGGGAAGTTGTCTTCATCAACGATCGTCTCGTCACAGAATTCTTTTGGAAAGTAGTTACTGCACATATGTTTTTCCATGCAGGGTGACTTTGGATTTGCTTCTCCACATGGTCCGTGCATCATAAAATTCTTGACAGCTTCAAATGTTTCTGGATCCTTGTCCTTGTCTGGGATTTCAGCGCATATAATTTCATCTGTTTGTGAGGGCTTGAGACGCTTCCCTTTCTCTTTTCCGTCAAGGAATATTAGTATATGGGCATGTGGGAGTCCTCTCTTCTGGAATTCTATTGTGAAGATGACTGCATTTAAAAAAATATATATATTAGTAAATTACCGGTCATAAAAAAGTGCAAGCATGTATTACTGATAAGTGATGATTTACTAATACTTACTTGCTTTAGTCTTTCCAAATTGTTGTTTACTTTTAATATCAAACATGAGCTCTTTTAGTTTTATCATGAACACTCGAACTGCAATATCAGGTCGTTCTGCTGGTTTCTGGTTCCCTGCTTCATTTAGCATCAACTGAATCTCAGGCCAATTAGGGTTGCATGTGAATGTTACGAACAAGTCAGGATGTCCAGCCCAACGGCATATTGCCATCGCATCTTGGTAGTTCTGCTCTATGTTTCGAGGACTTCCTGTGAAACTTGCTGGGAGTACTATTCTCCTCCCTACTTGCTCTGTCAGTGTGTCTCCTTTTCTGAGTGCGTCCTGTAGTCCATCATAAAGTTCTGTTCTTAATTTTCCTTGATTTTTTCTGATCCAACTGAGTCTACACTGTTCGATGCATGTATAGACATCTACCACGAACTGCATTGATAGATTTCCACATGTTAGCAGCAACATTGACTGACCTGGGCGCTGTTGGAGATAATATGCATAGTATTCCAGCATGGTGATATATTTCTTGTTACTCACACCTTTATTTTTGTTGTATTTGATTCCAAGTCTATAACCATCTTCTCCATATGGGAAGAGCAACGGGTATTGCATGGCCATGAATTTTGGATGGATTTCTGAAATCCTTTTAGGTTTCATATCTTTGTACTCGAGAACAATGTCACGCCCATAATGTTTTTGGGTTGGATCTTTGACCATCAGTGCAGCAACTTCCGATGTTGATGGCATGTTATCTTGTCTCCCATCTTGATCCCTGTTGCCAAGTAAACTTAGAGTGAAGTTGTTGTAGTCATCTTCTTTAAATCTATCTCTTGCCATTCGGAATGATTGTGCTAGTGTGTTATTCTCGTCGAGCATGCTCTGTAGGCCACTGACAATTGTTTCATCTAGTGAGGCATCACGTTCACCAGATCTTGTTGCTTCTACCCTGTTCTGGATCTCATTATTCGTGTCATAGATATACAACTGCTGGAAACGAGGCTTATTTCCTTCTTGAGGTAGCAGGGTGCCTATCTGGTGGCGGTTCTGGCCATTCAGTCGGAAAACATAAGGTCCACGCTCTTTATTTATTTGCTTATCTAGAGTTCCCCCCATTGATGTGAATGCAAACATGGAGTTGTAAGACCTAATGTTTTTTTCGGTAGTTTGCTGATCTTTTTCCTCCATCTCTTGTCAACAAACTCGTAAGGTATGGTGGCGGTTCTTTCAATGGTGGCAAGATAACCTGTCCTCGTTTGCAGCATATCCCAAAGGTTGGCTTTCTACATCCATAAGATTGTAGTCTTTCTTCATGCCACATAAGTGCATGGCAGTGTTCGCAGATGTATGTTGGCCCCCCAAAGTTCCATATCTTAATGGCATTGGAATTATCATCCTTGCCTATTTCACTGTTATTGGTTCTAGCACGTTTGCTGCTCTTCTTGAGTTGAATTTGTGCTTTCCTCTTCATTCGTGCTGTTCTTGTTAATTCATCCCGTCGTCTTCGTTTCATCATCCGGTCAGCCATTATTGCACTGTCTATAACTGATGATTCTGTCACTTGTGCTGGTTGATAGTTTGAATTTGCCCTTAACGCTTGGCAATATAGGCAGGTACACGATCTTTTCAATATCGAGTCCAGCATTTGTTGATTCGTTAGATTGAAGTTGCCCTTCATGATTTTTTCAATATCGAGTCCAGTACATGATTTTTTTCAATATCGAGTCCTCGTTTGCCCTTAACACTTGGCACTGTCTGCAATTTATTTTTGCTTGTACCTCTTCTGCAGCCCGTGAGTATATTGTTCTTCCGATAGATAATGTAGTGATCGTAAATTATACTGGTATTCCTACTCTTTCTGCTCTTCCTGAGTTCTGGTCATACTTTTCTTCCACACAAATTTTCTAATAATTCTTTTGACTGGCTCTAATTGTCTTGGTCCCTGTTGGCAATTGCTCGCCTGCACACAAGTGAGAATTCGTTAGGTTGACCGAAGCAGAATAATGTGCTAGATAAGCAAAAGTATGCAGGGTGCATGAATGGTCTTCTGGGCTCGATATAATAACTCACAGTTCTTTTTATAAAATATATGAGGCCAAACAGCAAATTGAGTTTGTTAACGCAACACTTTCAAAACTATAATAAATATCCAGCAGCTGACTTGATTATATTTTGAAGTTAGCACACGAAGTTAAGACCTGCTGAAATTGGCAACAATTAAAATTAGTGTTGAAGATGCCCATAAAAATTCAAATTAAACCCATGTTTTTGCCTACTTGTCTGCTTCAGTCATTTGTTCTTCAATTGCTGCACGAGGGCAGCTGTTTTTACATTGTTAATACAAACAGGCTCAAGGCTTGTGAAAGGAACTAGTACTAGAGCTACGCGAACTTTGATTCCCAATTCAAAAATAGCTGCATCATCCTGATGGGTACATGGCACCCAGGTGCGCAGCTATTTTTGATCAGTAAACAGGCTCAAGGCTTGTGAAGGAGGATGTGTCCGGGCCTTGGTTACCAGAGATCATACTTCGTTGGTCTGGATCGCTGTCATCGAGTACAGCGTGGTGTAGGGAGCTGAGCAATTAACCAATCTGCTGTTGTGCCGTATGGGACAGCGGCAGTAGCAGTTCAATATTCCAGGTTTTTTGAACTGGTATGATCGGCTGCAAATGGATACACAAGAGGGTAGCAAATGAACTAGGATGCCTATTCGCCACTTTAGCACAAAGCTTTGGTGCAGAATAGGCGGCCAGTCTGTAATTGGTGATGCATGTGGATGGATAGCATAGTGCAGACCGCAGACGCACCAAGCTATTTGTAAATCACAGTTTGAAATCAGTTCTTTTCTATGATCCTGGATTCAAACTCCTCTCTTTCTTTCTTTCTTTCTTGAACACACATCAAAATGCATGTCATTTCTGGTTAAGACAACCTGAGCTCGACAGGAACACTCCAATCATTTGGAGGGCACAGGTGCCCAGAAAACTTAGTCTTTTTTTTTGCGAATATGCAAGGTGCGTATCTTTTCATTGATAGAAGAAGAGTACAAGCATGGGATTACAACGCTTACAAGGCCATGTACGCGCTAGGCATGGTGTACAAGCGTGGGAGCAGAACAGAACAGGGGGTATGCTTAGCCCCAGAAAACTTAAAGTCTCCGCCTGGCTACTCTACAGAAACAGGCTCAACACCCGCGCCAACCTCGCACACAAGCACATCATCACTGCGAATGTGTGCCCTCGGTGCCATGAGCAATGTGAAGACACATCGCATCTCTTTCATTTCATGCCCTCTAGCTGATAGAGTTTGGCAACGCTTGGGTATTTCACCTATATCCGAGGACGTCGATGAGCTATGGGGCACAACACTGCCACGTGACATGCTGGCCAATATGTGGCCTTTGGTTCTACTAACCTCTCTGTGAAAGATATGAGCCGCACGAAATGACATGCTATTCAGGTCCATCGACCAAAGATCTGCAATAACCCTTGGGCTTATTATCTACAAGAGCGCAAAGAAGACACAAGACTGTACGGACGAAATAGCAAAGCAGAGGAGGGGAAAAAAAGAAACTAAGAAGAAGAAGCAACCCAAAACTCTGATCAAGTGAAATATTTGGCTAGCAGTGTATGCCAGTTGCATCAACCATCTAGAGGAAACGTGAGCTATGTGTTCTTCAGGCACTACCTTCAACTGTTGCCAATGTTCTCCTGCTCGTGAAGACGCATGCCCTGGAAATAAAAGATTGTCCGGCTGAAAAAGATAGAGCAAGATATGAGTCCATGAAAGAGACACGGCTGTGGATCGTAGAAGAAGATAGGAAAGGAAGTACAACATCATGTCACCTGCCCTACCCGGCCTTCTTCTCTGCAGCACAGCCGTTGAACTGCTTGAACACCAACTTTCTTGGCTATCAGCTAAACTCTGAACTGATTTCTCGCTGCAGCTGATGCATCCATGCTTCCCAGAGCCCACTCAAGGCAGTTGCCACAGGTAAATACTGGAATGTGGCAGTCTAGCAGCGCAAGCCAGAGAGTGGTTTGTGTCTAGTGGAGCAGCAGCACCTGACGCTGTGAGTGCAACCACCCACCCCCCTTGTCTTGTATGCTACAAGTAACTGATGTATTCGTCTACAGTCTGATCTCGTCACCGCATGTCGCAGAAAATAGGAGTATACAGCAAAAAACTACCACATTACAGGCTATCGCTACAAAAAAACTACTGTTTCTTTTTTTTTAATTTTTCAAAATGCTACCACAATTTGGTTGGCTGTTCCCGAAAACTACCATGTTGCATTGATGACCGTGTTAGTTAATTTGAATCGTGTTTATGACAGATTGGGTCCACTCGTCAGCTTTGACCGCTAGTTGACTGTTTGTTTGACCGTTACTTACATGTGGGACCCACATGTCAGCTCTCTCTTCTTCCCTAATCTCTTTGTTCTCTCCCTCTCCTTCCCTGAACTCTCTCTCCTAAGCCATGGCCAGCACCAAGGCCGGCGCAGCAGCCGCGACAAGGGCAGGGAGAAGCAGCAGCAGAAGTGGCAGTGGGCGGCGGTGACGGGAGTAGAAGCTGCAAGGGCAGCGAGCAAGCAGCAGCAGCAGCGCATACAACGCCGGCGAGCAGGGGAGCAGCAGCAGCCGTGAGCAGGGGAGCAGCACTGGTGAGCAGCAGCAGCCGTCAGCGGCGGCAGCGGGGAGCAGCGCCGGCGCGCAGCAGCAGGCGCGAGCGGCACGCAACGGCGGCATCGGGGCAACGCCGGCGTGGAGCAGCAGCTGCGAGCGGCACGCATCGGCGGCAACAGGGAGCAGCGCCGGCGAGCGGCACACGGTGGCGGCGTGGAGCAGTAGCCGCGACCGGCACGCAGCGGCGGCGGGGAGCAGCGCCGGCGAGCAGCAGCACACAGCAACTTCTGTCCATGGCGACGGCGGACGGGAGCACGGGACCCGATTGCTTTTTTTCGAAACTAGCAGGGACCCGATTGCTTTTTTACAAAACTTACAGGGGTTGGTTGCTTTTTAGAAAAACTTACAGGGACCGGTTTGCCTTTTATTTTTTGGAGGGACCGACATATGCACTTCACATGTCATAACGGTCAACTAACGGTCCAATATAACGGTGACCTGACGTGTGGACTCCCTTTGTCATAAATGCGGTTAAAACTTAACGCTTCAGCAATTTGGGTTTTTTGGATCTGCCAACCAAATTTATGGTAGTTTTTTGAAAAATTAAAAAAAACGGTAGTTTTTTGTGGCGATAGCCTGTAATATGGTAGTTTTTTGCTATATACTCCAGAAAATAGAAGCCTGATCTAATGCTGTGAGCAGCAGCAGCATTTTAGAAGAAGGAAAAACCCTGATGTACTCTTCTACTACGGTGTCTTGTTCAGTCTGATCTCGTAGCCACGTGTGACGAAAATGACACGTAAAACTACAGAATCTGCTTTAATATGATGGGCATGGTTGTGCCTGAACCCCTTTGGATTCCTTCGCTGCCGCGTGCGTGAGTGAATAGTGTGAGATTCCCACTGCAGCAGTAGCACGCCAGGTCAAGTCATGCCCATGCCCTACGGCATAGGTCTCTTTTTGTAAGCAATTTACGTTTTCTTCACGTTTCCATTTTCTTTTTAAAATTGGTACGCACTTACTCTCTGTCGAAACTGGCTTTCGTCTTCTTTATAAAAAAGTAAAACAACCATACAACAAATTCATGTCCAGCAAAGGAAATATTAAAGTCGGTTGGGGCAACAATACAAACACACCAAAAACAAAGTCTAGTCCCAAACTAGCAATGAGTCCGTCCTTTGCAACGGATCTGAAGTAGTACTACATATTCATAAATTTGAAAGAAAATAATTTAGTTTTGTTATACATATATGATTAAAAATATCTTATGCTTCACTCAAAATATATTCCTTGGGCTGTTTTGATGAAGTAAGGGAGGAATGTGGTTGGTTTCAAGGTACTAAGGTTTTTTTTGTAAATTAGGACACAGAAGTGGGATATTGTTTGAAAAAGGCCACAACTTACTGTTAAGCAACGTATAACAGGCTCGATCGTGTCAGGATGGTAGCGTAGACTCCAAGGGTAGTTCGGCTGAGATAGTCTAGGTTGTTAGCATTGTAGTTTATCTCTGTAACAACTCTATCTCTTATCCCTTGTACCTCAAGTTGTAATCTCAACCATGTACGCGATCTGGTGAGTTGCGCCCCAGTATATTAACACGAAGCCGTCAGTCAGGCAAAGGCACGGCGTTAACCTAAGTTTTCACATGGTATCAGCCTAACTCTTCCACATCGCATCTACTATCCCCATCCACCACCTCCGCCTCCACCATGGCCGCCTCCTCCAGCGCCGCACCAGCCAACCTCTCTGGTCAGGTCACCGAGAAGCTGACACGCACCAACTACATCCTCTGGCGGACTCAAGTCACGCCGCAGCTCCGTGGTGCTGGCTTCTACGGGTATGTCGACGGCTCCATGCCAGAGCCGGCCCGACCCGTCGTCACCAAGGACAAGGAAGGGAAGGAGGAGACTTCCCTGAACCCCCTTCATCCGATCTGGATCCGCGAAGAGCAGCAGGTACTTGGCTACCTTCTGAATAATCTCTCCAAGGAGGTACTTGTGCAGGTCACCACGATCGATCATGCGCAAGATCTCTGGACAGCACTGGCGAAC